TTGTGCCCTAGTTTCCTCATCATACGGCTGCTGGGGTGTGAAGTGGGTAGGTCTATGTAAATAAAGCCTTTAGCAAAGTGCCTGCCTTATAGCAATTACTGTATGGTTATTTGCTTTTATTTATTGTGTTCCCAATAAAAGCATGCCATTGTGTCAGGCATTTAAGGGTGGCACAAAGATGAATGGAATAAGACATGGTTGCTGTCCTCAAGAACCTTACCAGAAGAGTGGAAAATGCAAGTTTCATAAATAATTGGGGTGAAATACAGCTGTTGGCAACTGCAATGGAAGGGAGACAAGCTCAGGCTCAGAATGAGAACAGAGAGGACAGAATCAGCAAAGCTTTCATGATGACTCCATGGAGAAGGTGCCATTTGTGATGTGCCTGGAAGGTCTGTAGATGGTGGGCTAAATGGCGAAGCAGGAGAGGAGGGCACTCCTGCGTCACGGAAAGAACGCAGAATCAGAGGCATGGCTTACGATTGCTGTACGTATGGCATGTCAAATTCATAAAGCCATGTGGTTTGTAGCATATTTCCCAAAGCTGTAAATCTACAAATTTGTCTGAATACCCTAACATGCATTTTTATATATTGGTAATTTCTGTAGTTTTTGGTTTTAATACAGATGGAAGAGCAAGCATCTGGGGAAGTTACAGACTTCTCCAAGATCATGCGGACGGAACCCACAGAGCCGGGACAGAACTCAGTCATTTCACTCTGGTTCCATTGGTCTGAATGGCGCATTGTTCTTAGAGGAACAAATATTCTCAGAGCATCAGGGTCACCCTCAAGGGGAAAAGAATCTTCAGTAAAGAGGAAACACCAGTGTTTTATTATCCAATGATTGTTTCTTTTCCCTCTCTGTATGTAACAACAAGAAAAATAAAGAGAGCCGACATACCTCCAAATTGAGTCATCCAAAATCTATGTGAATATTCTAGTAATTACTTTTGTACAAAGTGTTTTTCATGCCATTGGATAACCTTTGTGAAAGCCAATACAGAAAAGTTGAATACTAGTTGTATACAGAAGAGCGAAATGCTTCAAATTGCTTAGTTGGTCCATTTAATGTCTTGTCCATTAATTAATCACACACTATATTCCAAACCTCTCATGGTCTGAGGGCCACAGAGACTTGAATTCAAGATCTTCTGCTATTAATGGAGTGAATACCATTCCTCCCAGTTTCTGTCATCTTAAACTTCCTCTCTTTCAAACAAAACAATGAACAAAAAAGAACAAACA